ACGTTTTATAATTAACCTTAATTTATTTAAGAAGGCTATTATTTAATATATAGACTTATATCTTATATATTAGAAGATTTATAATATCCTATAAGATAACTATAGCTATAATATTCGCTCTTAAACACTATAATGCTTTTTATAAACTAACTATATTTACTTATAAGTATAAATAAATAACTAAGATAAACTTACTAAACGTATCTAAACGTTATATTTCGCCTAGAACCTTACTAACTTTAATATTTATAAGTAACTACTTAATAAAGGTTTCTAATTATTACTATTTTAAGTTAGCTTAATCTACTACTAGTAAAATATATACTAATAATAAGATATTATATATTAAGATATTATATAAGAGTAGGTATAAGTATATCTCTAGAATAATTTTACTACTAAGTAGTATATAATTAATAATAGCTAAATATTCCTTATAGTATATATATATAAGGCTAGTATTAATATTAGCTATAATACTTTATATAAGGTTTATTATAAGGTATCCTCTAAAAACCTTTAGGATTATTAGAAATAGGTAGAAATACTATATATAGACTTTAAAACCTATAGTCTTAATTAGATTTAGTCTATTAATAGCTATAAAAAGCTATAGCTATAGGGGTTTAAGATTTATATAGGAATTAATATATATTTATATTATATTACTTAGTTCTATATTAGTATTTCTATAATAACTTTATAGAGTATTATATAGTAATATATTACCCTATTAAATATATAAAAGATAATACCTACTTAATTATAATCTAATTATAGTAGTAAGACTACTATTATTATTAGGCTATACTAGTTTCTCTTTTAAAATAATATACTAGTATAATACTAAACTTATAATAATACTAATAAGTTATAATACTCTTAGGAGTTATAAGGAATATCTTAAGAGCTTATATTTATAAAAGTATAGTTATATAGCTAAAGTGTTTATAATATATATATTAAAGGATAGTAATACTTTCTAAGTATTCCTATTAAATATTAGTAAATAAGTAATTATTAATAACTATAGATATATATACTAATATAACTATTTAGATATATTTCTTTATACTTAATGACTATAGCTTATTCTTTATTAATAATCTTATAGATAAGATTATTATTCTCTATTTATATATACTATTAATTTAAAAAGACCTTTATACTTTTATATATAAATAGAATATCTATTATATATATATATAAGAAGGTAAAATTACTAGTTAACTAAATATTTTATATTATAACCTTAGCTATAATACTAAGCTAAATTATAAATTCCTACTACCTATTAATAATATAAAAGTATTAAACTCTATCTTTAAAATATTAAATAATACTATTAATATATACTTATTATAAGTTATATACTAGATCTATAATAGGATTATTTAGTATAAGTTTAGTAGTCTACTAGAGGTAGGTAACCTAGAAATACCTCTTTTTCCTATTTACTTATACTTATATAAGTAACTTAATTAGTATTAAGCTAAAAGAACTCTTCCTAGATTAGCCTTATTAGAGCTAGTTACTAATACTTATATAAGGTTTAATAAATTATTATTATATAAGGATATTACTATTAATATAATCTAAGAGCTTATTATAGGGGAATAACCCTTTTTTTTTATTTTCTTTATTTTTATTTTTTTTTCCTATTTTTATATTTAAAATATAAAATATAAAATAAATAATAATATATAATATTTATCTTTTTAATATTTACTTCCTTATATAAATTAGAAAAACCCTTTTATCCTTTAGTATTATTAGTATATCCTCTTATATAATAGTACTAGTAGTATTATTCTCTATCTTACTAGTTACCTTATTTATAAGCTTTACTAAGCTAGGTAAATTACTAGTAATAGAAGGAGCTTATATAATCTCTTACTTAATATTAAGCTTTAAATTTAATATATTTAGCCTTTAAGTTATTACTTTCTTTATTAATAGCTTTATTTTATAGGATAAAGCTTATAAATTAGTATAAACCCTCTTTATTATATATAAACCTATTATTAGTTACTTTTAATTATCTAGATATATTATTAAAAGATTAATTATAATCTTCTTATTTAATTAATTATACCTAAGTGCTATTAAGAGCCTTTTAATTATTATTATTTATTAAATACTAGTATAATAATTAATAATACTTAAAGGGGATTCTAAGATAATTATAACCTTAACTTCTTACTTTTTATCTAGTAATACTAATAATATAGGATTAATACTATCTAATATAATTAATAATAGTATATCTCTATATAACTAGTATTTAAACTATAGATAAGTATATTATTATAATATATATTTATTAATATAGTTTAGACTAGATATTATCTAGGGTATTAGAATATTCTTAATATATCTATTTTTAATTATAGTATTAAATAGCTAAAGTATAAATATAATACCTTTATTATTTATTTTTAGCTAAGTTATAATAAAACTAGCTTATTTTACTTATATACTATCTAAAATAGTACTCTATATTATAACCTAACTATTAATAGAAGGGCTTTAAAGTATAACTTAAGTTAAAGGTATATCTATATTATTTATTAAGTTAAGTATAATAAGGTCTTTATTATTAATTATAGTTAACTTTATACTTAAAATATTATAATTACTTAGAAAAGGCCTTTAAATAGTTTCTTCTATAGGTAGTAGTAATTCCTATATAGATAGATATAATATTAAGTAGTAGTAAGGATATATATCCTAGTCTAGATATTACTATACTAACTCTTAATACTATATACCTATCTTTAGGTAGTATTTCTTTATTATAATAAGTATTAATATTAATTAAGGAAAAAGGGTTATATAAAGTTTTTTCTTTTATATATAAACTATTACTATTTATATCTAGCTATAATATTTAATAAAGTACTAGTAAATATACTTAAATATATATTTAGTTATATTTTATTTAAATCTTTACTTATTTAATAAATACTATAGTAATCTATTACTATTATACTTATATAATATTATATATACTTACTATATTTAGTATATCCTTTTATATAATAGGAGAGTATAGTTTAGCTATAACTATTATTAGTTAATAATATATATAAGTAGTATTATATAATACCTTTTAAAGAGTATTAGTATACTTAAGAGGAGTATATATAGTTTATATATATATTCCTAGCTAGCCCCTAAAGCTAAATATAGCTAGTAAAGATATAACTATAATTTTAATATTTTAAGTAAGCTATCTTATATTCTTTACTATAAATATAAATAATTATTACCTTAATATTCTAAATATATAATAGATTTAATAATTAGCCTTATCTATAACTATATATTAGTATTAAATTTAGTTAAAGTAGGTATATAGGTATAGACTATTTATATATAGTATTAAGCTATTTATTTATAAGAATATTAGCCTTTATAAGTACTTAAGCTATTAACTCTTTAGTATTATTAGGCTAAGCTATAGAAGCTATAATAACTAATAATACTATATTTATAATAGTAATTAATATAATAAAAAGAGTTATAGATTTATAAAATATAATTCTACTAGTAAATAGTATATATAGCCTTAAATTATATTCTATATTATATAAATGTGGATATTGATATACTGAAAATAATTATATACGCTTTTGGTGTGTGCCTAGTGTGTAAACCCCGATATAAGCATGTAAAATACGTTTTAGCGACAACTCACCTATAGGCTGCCGTAGGAGCGCAGGCGGGTGGCTGCACGTCAGAATGGATGCAGTCGGTCTGTCACGTGCACGTGCACATACAAGCACTACTTAGGGTATAAGCCACCCACTTAGCCTAGGGAATACATCATCATCTTGCCGAACTCTAGTGCCTAATAAAATGGTAGTAATACTAGTAGGATTATTAGAGACTATTAAAATTTATTAAATTTAAAGCTCTTATTAATAGTAATATTTATTTTTATTTTTTCTTTTTTCTTTCCTACCTATAATTAGCTATAGCTAATATACTAGACTATATCCCCCCTTAATTTAATTTAAACTATATCCCCCCCCCCCCCTAATACTAGTATTATAAGAGTAGATCTAGCTAAGCTAGTTAACTTAAATACTAACTAAAATATACTAACTTTAGTAGGCTAAGTAGTATATTAATACTAAGCTACTATATATAGAAATAGATAAGGGTTATCTAGCCTATATTATAAGCTAGCTAGCCTATACTATATATATATAAGACTAGATAGA